CTGTGGAAATGCTATTTAGTATCTTATTGAATTTGAGTTCCTTGCAGCAATTTTCACATTTGCTCTAGTTCTATCTTGACTTGTATCCAATACCGGGCTGAAAATAGAATCAAGATCACACACAAAAAAATAGTCACTGATTTGAAAAGTCAAATACTCTGCTCCCATTTAAGGGGCATGGACTACACTAAGAAGCTGGGAGTGGCTGGACATACTTTCAGAGCAGACTGCGTACCCCCACGCACTGGACTGATCATTCTGAAAACAGAATTGCAGCATGACACAGCATGAAACTCACATTCCTGTTTGACTTTTTTTTTTTCCTGAGTGGCCCATGTAATGTATCTCTGGAACTATTAAACATTATTAAGTGAAAATCGCTTCTGATGCACTTTTCTGGTTGTTCAGAGTCATTCTTGCTATGCTTTAAGGTCCCAGTTAAAGACACATTAAGAACATTTTTTTTCCTGTTTAAGTTAGGAAGCTGCTGCTGGATGCTGCCAAATAGTCTGAATTTAAGAACTGTCTTTTTGAATACAGCCTTTTTCCTGACAGTGGGAGAAAAGTAAACCTAAAGACAGTTGCTTAAGTTAGTGTGTAGGCTATTACTTATGTCACAGAACTGCTGTAACTTCAAATCACTTAATTGCAAGTGAATCCTCCAGCGAGTGGAGGTGGAGTTTTGATGGAGAAGTTGCAATATAGCAGCTCAAATTGAACCTGGCTCCATCATAAACCTCTACCACTACTCTCAAGAAATAACTATGCTTTTTAGTAGCAATGGCAAGTTGGCAGTATCGGGAAAGATAACATTGATTTTAACATGAAATTTTGAAAAAAATTTGCACAAGTATTCTGAGCTCCTTGTGACTTACATTAACCCATCAGGTATATCTGAGCCCTCTGTAGCAGGAATAACTTCTGCCTATTTTTCTGAGTGAAGTAAGGCAATGTCAAATGATAACCATATCAGCAGTGTGATGAGCTTATTCACTTAATAGCCCAGGCTGGATGAGCTTTATGTGAATAACATCCTTCTCAGGAATGAGGGTGTCAAGGGAAAAAAAGCATGAAAATGGTGAAGAAAGGCACATCCCAGAAGAAGCTCTTAATTTCTAATTCCAAACAAGATTAGTTTTTTAAAAGCATGGTAAAATGAGACTTTTGCCCAGCATCTTTCAATTTAACAGAGAGAAAAGCCATTTATACACAAGGTCACACAAGCCATCTATAGCCAGTCAGTCTGTTATTTTGTAGCATGGAACAGAGCTGTGCTGTCTTAAACAGGAACGTTATGGAAAACGTTATCAATGGGAAACTCCAGCCTTGGTAAGCAATATATATATATATATATAAACACAGGCCTGCAGCATTGTGTTGACCTTGGTGAAGTCTTATTTAGGGTGAGTTTGAATATTTGACACCTGGTGCTTAGACCTTTTATAGTGGTAGTTGCTTTCTTCGTGTTTGTATAGTTCCAGACTGAAATCTTGACTTCCCTACAGATCTTGGAAAAACACGTGTTGGAAACATTCACACATTGCAGGCATCTTTGCTGCCTGGAAGCAGAGAGTATCCCCACTGGGGATCAGGTCCTGCCCACAGGCAGATCTCAGCTGCTGGCTGAAACCAGAGCGTGGCACCACCAGTATCAATCCCACAAAATGGATCTCAGTTGTTCTGCACTTCTCTGCCTCTCCTCTGGCCCAAGTGTCCAGGCAAAATAATAGAGAAAAGTGTTGTAAAGTAGAAGGGAACAGTATGATCATGAATATATGCCTGTAAGTAGCAGTGTGCAGTCATGGCTACATCAAAATGAAGGTGAACGGCCTTCATTTACAACTGCTTCAGCAGAGAGGAATAGCACTTCACAGCGGTCCAGTGTACTCCTAATGAAACTCGTAATGTTAACCCAGAGAAAAGCCTTCTCTTTCTTTTCACCTCTTGTGCCAATGATAATGGCTATTATAAAACACTTCGAGTGAAAGAAATCCCATCATTTCATACCCAAATTCTTTCTAGATGTGTCTGCTTGCTAGCTCTCAAATGAAGTTTCAAAATGAAGAAAAGAAAAATAAATCTGTGGTTTGTCTATAGGTTTTAAAGGGATGACTATCTTTGCAGCTCTGCATACAAAATTACATCCAGTTATAGTGAGGAAATTGAGTTTGTTCCATCCCAGTAGAAAAAATTCCTTGAGAAGGACTGACATGTAAAGCCTTTCATTTCCTATCTCTCTGCTGGAGTAGCACGGATGATTTTATGTACTAGATGTGAGTTGCATTAAAAGATGAACAGGTAGCATTAGTGGTAGTTCATCTATTATATTCTCACCTACTGAACACATTCTTTTCATGGCAGAGAACAGGTCTTCTATCCATTCCAGACATGGCTGAAATTCAAAGATCAGCAAAGTGATTCCAGTCAGTATTATAATGGATAGCACTCAGAGATATTTATTCTTCACTGTCAAGGAGGTAGACTAGATGATCTAATAGGCAATTTCCATCCATAATGTCTGTGATTCTTCTAGTTGAAAGGCAGCTGTGGATGCAGGAGTTATGATTTCTAATTATTATTTATCTCTGCTTTATTTCTTCAGAGTGTTTGCATTGCTATTGCCAGGGAATAGTACAGGGTAAAAGTCTTAGTCTCAATGTTATTTATTACTTTAAGGTATTTTCTCTGATCTGCACAAGTATGTCTCTGTGAATAGTACCCCAGTTTGTGTGGACCGAGGAGCAGAATGGTCTCTGGTTTAAGTGCCAGGTGGTACTGAGCCCAGGCTCTGCACCCTCACCCAGTCTCGTCTGGATCATCATCAGATGTTGCAGGGCAGCTTGTTTTGCCTCCAGCTGTCAGTTGTCCTGCTCTGGGTCCTGAAACAGTCCCCTCCTGGGAATTCTGCATCTTCCTCTCGATGCCAAATCTGGTGCTAGTCATGGAGGCCTGTGAGCAGTTGGTGTTTATATCCAAAGCACAATCTTCTGGAATCAGGAAGCTGGTTTTCATGAAGAAAAAATACATTTTAGCTTTTACAGTTACAGAGAAAAAAATAAGTGCCCCCTAAAGGTTCAGAAGCTAGAGAGTAAAAATATTTTTTTTCCTGATTATATTATCAAAAGCAATATTAAGCCACCAAAGAGGACTTTTGAAAATTAAAAAAAACAAAAACAAAAACAAAAACAAAACAAAAAAAAAAACACGTTTGCTTATGTTGAGGCTCTGCTTCTCCGTTTCTGATTTATGTCTGTGCCCCTTCATTCCATTCTCAGCTATTGCAAAGGGGACGGGGGGGGATCCTGTCTGTGCAGAACCTGCACGGACCTGCCATGGAGCCTTCTTGCTTTCTGCATCATTAGAAAATTGTTGGATTCCAAAGGAGATGTCCTTTTCTTTTCTAGTTTGCTTTTCCCTAGTTGCAGCAATTACTTATGTCACAGAACTGCTGTAACTTCAAATTGCTTAACTGCCACTCCTGGCATTTGGGAACACTGATAAATGTTTGTCTTCAGCTGGAGCCTTGATTTTTTGTTTACGGTTGCTTTAACATCAATATTTTGGTGACCATAAGGACAGAGAAAGGACAGTTTTCCACTGTTTTCATGATCATGGAATAAATATATATATAAAAAAAAAACCAGACTGGATGTGAAAACTACTATTTTGCCATTTATTTCCTCCCAGATGAGCCAGCTGGACACCTACCTATATGTGCTTAGAGATCTGTAATCACCTATGCAGAAGACTTGACTAAAATTGGTTCTGAAATATGAGAAAAGGAGTGTTTCTCTTTTATGAACGATCACCAGCAGTGAAGCCAGCAATTAAACTCTTATACATCTGCGGAGTTAGTGATTGAACGTTACACATGTGAAGCATGTGAAGCTTTCAGCATCAAAGTGCTGATTTGGCTAAGGTCTGTGGTAGCTTGCCTCTCCCGTATGCAAAGTAAGGATTTTTCTAGGAAAGACTTAGCAGCTCCTCAGGGCACAAGAGTTTGGAGGAGCCCCCTGACCGGACAGACTTCCTTGAAGAAATTCTGATAGAAGCGAAGTGGTTCCTAGCTGAGCCTATTATGCTTTTCAGTGCTTCAACTTTCATGTCTAAAATTTTAAGCACTCAGGTTTTTAGAGCATGACTGCTGAAGCACTTCTCAGGCTCAGCTAGGAGCCACTTAGCTTTTACCAGGAAAAATCTTTGAAGCCTTGATAGGGTCAAGGAGAAACTGTATATTTGGCTGCTCTCTTGGCTTTGACCTCCCTGTTGCATACAGTCCCCTTCTTCTCTAATTTTATCTGGTTGTCTTAGGGTGCAAAAGGAATGGGAGGGAGAATTTGAAACTGCATTTACGTAAATTTAGATTGAGTCATCTGGAATAACGTGTGTAGTTCTGTCACCTCAGGATGGGGTCTGTCTGTCCTTAAACATTTAAAAGATGTCTGTGTCTAAAGCAATCATTCAACATCTTTTCTAGACAAAAGAATGAAATTGGTACTTCTAAAGACTGAGTCCTCAGGCACGTATTAGATGCCAACCATAGGATGAAATTAATCACTTTGGATTTCTACAGCTGGGCAGATGAGCCCTACTGTTTATTTCTGAAGGTGTTGCAATCAAATGGAAGACATTCCAGAGGCAACAGAAAATGGCAAAGAAATAATAAGCTGAAGTCTCTGTCCCCTGAGAAGACTGGAGAGCTTACGTTTGATTGCCTCAGGAAAGACATTTATAACAAGGGACGCAATTAAAGTGGGAGTCCTCTCTCCTTTGTCTGCAAAACTTGAGGCAAGGAAGTTAAAGGAAGGGAAAATGAAACTCAAAAAAAAAAGAAATAAAAAGTTATACACAGTGTTTAAACAGGAGTCCTTTTTCAAAGGAAGTTTTCTGAGTTAAAAAACCTGGAATAGTTCCAGTTCATTTACACAAGTACCTTCATACAGGTTTTCTTTGGTTAGCCATAAAAGTGCTTTTGAAGAGCTATTACTCCTCTAATTCAGGTCTTTAACCAGTTTCGCAGTACTGGTGGGCAGGGTGAGATCCAGCAAGAAGGGCAGGTTTCTCTGGAGAGTATCCTGCAGATGGGTGGCAGGCCAGGATTGCTGCCTGCTGGCGTGCAGCACCGCTGTGCTTGGGTGTGGCAGGTGGAAATGCTGTAGCAGACAGTGAGCGGGCGCTATGCATCAGGGAGGACTGACAGGGCTTTCCAGAGGCCCTGCAAAGCCAAGAACCTGAGCCCCGTGTTGAAAGGAAGGAGGGGAAAATAGAGATGATCCTTGAGGGTCAAGGGTGGAAACTTCTGAGGTGAAGGAGGCTGGAGATTTGTTACTTCTGACAAAGCAGCTAAGGCCCCTTTTCCACCTGTGGTTCATCAGTTACTAAGCAGATGCAGTGCTCGGGGAAGAGGCGGGAGAGATGACCTCCCTTGGGATGAGGCATCAGAAGTTAGCTGAGCCTCAACCCTTAGAGCCTTCAAGAAAAGGAGGGTGGTAGGTATCAGAAACTATCTCTTGAGGAGAGAGATGCAATCATCTGCCAGAGTGCCCAGCAGCCTGTGGAGTTTGCTGCTTGCCCAGAGCTTGGACATACTGTTGCAAAGAGCCTGCTAAAGCTGGTTTGTCGCTTGGTCCGTGACCCCTGCTGCTCATCCATGTGGGCACCATGAGAGGAGACCTTGAGTATATCGGAAATAACTGGATGGCTTTGAGAGCAAGGGAGAAGAGTATGGGTGCCCAGTTGATGTCTCTGGAAAAATCTTTTTTTTCTACCTACCTCCTGTGAGGGGGAAGGCTCTAGCTGGAGCAGACACATCTAGGAAGGCAGTCCCTGGCTATGTGTCTGGTGTGGCTGGCAGGAATTTTGTCTCTATGGGCATGGAACACTTTCTGAGGAGCCAGGACTGCTGAGCTAGAATGACATTCATCTGACAAAGAGAGGTGAAGGTGTCTTTGCTAACAGCCTTTACAGCCTTGTGAGGATGGCTTTAAGCTATGCTTGTCTGGGAACAGGTTTCATTCTCTGAAGAGAAGGGGGAGCAGTGGAGAAGTATCAGGGGAACAACAAGATGCAAGAGACTCTTGGGTTCACCCTATGAAAGCAGCATGCTGAGAGCCCATGTCAAATGCCTGCACACAAATGCAGGCAGCATGGGGAGCAAACAGGTAGCATTAGACTACCTCATGCTGCCACTGAGCTTGGACCTCCCATGGGATTGCAAGCATCCTTGTGTGGAATGACTCTCACTATGACAGTGCTGCAGGAGATGGACTCAGGCTCTTCAGGAAGGACAGGCTGGGAAGGTGAGGAGCAGGACCGAAGTCCTGCTCATGAAGAGAGAGTCAGCAGTGCGTGAGAAGTTGCATTTGGATAGAGTGAGCTGTCCCAGAGTGTGAGGGTCAGGAGCAAATTAACCCCAAATCCACTAGAAGGGTAACAGCTCTGAGCAGAAACAATGCAGAAGATTTTTTGGAGTTGCTGAAGACAATTTCTTAGTGTGGGTGATCAGTGTGCTGACAGGTGGGGAAAATGCTGCTGGAGCTATTGCTCACAAACGAGCAGTATACAGCTATCTGATGAGGGTGTGTAGAGAAGATGGAACCAGACTTTTCACAGGGGTACACAGTGGAATGATGAGAGGCAGCAAAGCTGAAAGATGGGAAGTTTTAAATCAGTATAAAGGAAAAAAAGTTGTCATGAAGTTGTTCAAACACTGGCACAGGTTGCCCAGACAGGTTGTGGGATCATCCTTGGAGACACTCAAAACTTGTGTGGTGAAAAACCTGAGCAACCACCTGTAACTCAAATTACTTTGGGGAGGAGGTTGCACTAGAAGACCATCAGAAGACTTTCAAACCTGTATGATTAATTGATTTGGTAACTTTTTACAGTTTATTCTGACACATTAGTGTTAGCCATGGGCTGATGTCTGAATTCAGAATTCAGGGAAGTCCTGTGGCATCTGCCATGCAAGAGATCAGTCTGAATATCTTCAGTGTTCCCTTTTACCTTATATATTCTCATTCCAGATGGAGCTTGGATATGATCTGGAGTGGCAGTTCTTGGATTAATTTACAGTTAACGGTAGCAATACTGACATGCCTTGATTTGACTTGCCCTTAGACACATGAGCTGATATGCCTATTCCAAATATTAGTAAGTCATTTTAATTAAATTGAATTGTTAACATTTACTGGTTTCGGTAATAGTTACTATTTTACATTTATATTGAAACTTTCATTTTAAGTGGTCACTCTCCAGTAAATAAGTGCCACTGGGTACCTGTATGGCACAGACCTACACTGTGGTGGAGATGTGCTGTTAAAGGCTGTCTCATCTCCCTGAATGGCAGAACTATGCTTCTTGGAGAAGAGAAATGTGTGGTGCTACTAGGAGATGGTTTAGCTGTTATGCCTCCATCCAGTCTTGCCATTGGGTGCAGAAAAGTGGTGGAAATGTTCTCCTGCATCTTCTCTCTCATGGTCAATGCATAGTCAATAGTGGAAGAACTAATACACCAAACCACCCTTGCAGGCAGCTAAAAAGCAGGTGTCGTAGCTCTTCTCTATGACTTGTTTAGTCATGGCCACAGCTACAGAATTACATCTATAGCAAAATGACATTCACCAGTGATGAAATACAGCAAGCTGAGAAGATGAGCACAGTGGCTTTTTAACCATGTGCAGTGACACGTCATATTAATTCTTGTCAGAAATGAGGAAAGGCTTTGTGACTCCTCAGTTTTCACACTAGCTGTGAGCACATTATGTAGAGCTCTGTTTATGCCCAGTGTTTTAATAGTAGATCCTATTTTTTGTCTGTACTTAATTTCTAAGATTTGATATGTCAATGAAAAGGTGTATAAATTCATGCGATTGTATAAAATTGTCTGAAAATAGCTAGGCAGCTGATTTAGCTTTCAGAAGAGAGAGTTAACATGGGATATTTGTTTTCATTCAGCACTGAAGGAGAAGGAAGATTTGTTGATAAAATAAGCTCAGGACTTGGAATTTGCTTGTATGGTCAAATTGTGAGTTATTCAAAAGGATTTTTCCTGGGGTAAGGAGTACACATTTGTGTGTCAAGCATGAGAAAGGCAAAGACAATCCATGGAGAATTGTTCAGGTGTCATAAGCTTCAAAACAGTTTCAGAAAGTAACTAAACTAACTAAAAAGTCATTTTCCCTCCTCTTGGCTGTGGTATCAGATATTGCTGCCTTCCATATGCTTGCTGTAAAAGCACTCTGAGAGTATCAGAAGAGAGATTTAATTAACAATCAAACGTTTCTACCGTTCCCTATTTCATGTCAGAGGAGTTGCTGGTGGAGTATTAATGTTCTGTGTCTGTGGGGTGGGACTGAGGGAAATGATGCATGGAGATGGGAGATGGCAGCTGACTGGATCTCTTTGCTTAAAGCCATTTTGCATTGCTTCATTGCTAGTATGGGAAAATACATCTTTCTATAGGTGAACAGTGGATTTCTCTACCTACTGAACACAGGAAAGCTGAATCTCTGTGAGAACATGCCATGAAATGTATTTGTATCCTGTCAGGCCCAAGGACTTCAACACCTGCTATACCACTGAGAAGGGGATAGTTTTTTGATATGTGATGGTTTCATTCATATGGTGCTTCAGTTGTGTTTAGCAAAAGAACATGGAACTTTTAATGCCTTTTAGCACAGGAAACTTAGCTCCCACAGAGAAGTAATTATCTGATACAGAATTAACAAAAAAAAACTTCTTACATATATTTTGAGCTTATTTTTGTTCATAGAATTATAGAATCATAGACTAGTTTGGGTTGGATGACCTTTAAAGGTCATCTAGTCCAATTACCTTGTGGTGAACAGGGATATCTTCAACTAGATAGGTTGCTCAGAGCCTTGTCCAACCTGACCGTGATGTTTCCGGGGATGGGGCTTCTACCACCTCTCTGGGTCCCTGTGCCAATGTTTCGCCACCCTCACTGTAAAAAATTTCTTCATGATATCTTGTCTGAATCTACCCTCTTCTAGTTAAAACCTTTACCTCATGTCCTGTTGCAACAGGTCCTGCTAAAAGTTTGTCCGAATCTTTCTTTGTAAGCTGCTTTAGGCACTTAAGTGCAAGTATTTCTACATGCTTGAATTCAATAGGTGGGCACACTCTTGTAGTTTGGCATTAAAAAAGAAATTTTTACAAATGTACAAACCTAATGCAGCCTGGTAGATGCTTTTTCATCCCTGCTGTCACCAAACCAGATTCCCCCTTCTGCAAACTTGGGAGCAAGAATAGGTAGAAAGCTCAGCTTTTGAACTCCTGAATCTGTACAGCAGTAAGCAAAATCTGAGGCTCTCAAAGATGATGATTTTAGAAAGAAATTCCTGTAATTAAGGGACATTTCAACTATTGCTTTCCCAATGTTATCTTTTCCAAAACTAGAGAAATAGGAAATATCTCCAGAATTTGAGTGCCTGCTGCTGTGAGTCTAATTAAAATATCCCGTTGTGCCTCTGATACAGAAGGAAGTCTTACAAATCCCAGTTGTGTACCTTTTGCCTGACCTCTGGCACTAGGACAAAATGGGCAGGTGGAAAACCTCAGATTTGGTACAAAGTAGTCATTTTGGAAGAATGATGTTCTACCATAAGTTACTTGGAAAATTCAAAAGAGAATGACATGGATTTCACATTTGCTTTATTTACCCAAAGAACTCTTATGAATTATTTCAAAATAATAATAGCCTCAGCAGCAGTAGTAGTAAGGAAAATAAACATATATATATACATATAAGTAGTTGGGTGAACGCCTACTAAAATTTAATAGCATGGAAATGCTTGAAGCATGTCATGATTTTCTTTTGATGAACTTGAGTTTCCTGGTAATTTAAAAGATGACTGGAGAGTCATAGCTTGTCAGGAAAGTAAGCCAAAACAAATTGCATCTTTAAAATGTCCTTTAGTACAAAATGCTCTAGGGAGCATAAAGTGTTTAAAAACCCAGTAGCTTTTCCTGGTGATACTTTCATCACAAAATGCATTTTCTTGCAGAGTATTTAAAATTAATTATTTTAAATCAATGAGATAATTGGTGGGTGATATTTTTGAGAGCTAATAACAAAGTGTCTCCTTTGTTATGCACAACTAGTCTTGTAAGCGGTATCAGTTATGCCATATTGTAAAATTCATTCCTATTTAAATGGTGAAGTAACATACAAGGAATGAATAATATTTCATATCCATTTTTGTGATGGGCTTCTGGCAGGTAGAAGATGAGGAGGAGTAACACTGGAGAAAAATGGTGCGTTAAAAGATCTGTTAAGTAAGCTGTATTATACTTCCCTAATCTCAATTTCCTTTTATTTTTATTATTCTTCTGTAGCCTCAGACCATTCAACAAACTCTGCAAAGGACACTGCAGTATTTTGAGCATCAAGTTATTGGGTAAGTTTTACTGTGTGGTAGTGAAAGGTCCATGGTAATGTCTTGCTTTATGTTTCACAAGTCATAACCTTTTGTGACAAGGTTTTAAAGTTTTTTCTCAAATTCTTAGAGATACTCTGGAGTAACCACACGTACTATGGGTGTTAATAATAAACTGCTGTCCAGTCCTGCTTCCATGCAAACCCTTCAGAGCATGACTGTTCCACTAGCAGTAATGTTTCCTATATAAGGAGAATAGGGAATATTTTTGTAAAAGTGTAAGGTCTGTTCCAGTTTGCTGAAAGAGCCAAGGTCCAAATCTTGCAAAATCAAGTGCTTGTTATGTGTATACATGGCTAGATACTTTCAGGATTTTGCAAAAGCAGGGCTGAAAGTCACCTCCTGAGTTGATTGAGGAAATTAATAGAAGACTGAGGAATAAAAAGAAAGTAACAGCAACTATCATAACAAAAACCTAAGGCATTCTCCTGCTGATGAAAATAATCTTCTTTCAGCCTTTTCCTCACCTGCACAAGTGTTTTTCTTACCTGTAGAAATGTTTTACTGTCACAGATTATTTACTTTTCCTAGCAGAATCAGTATACAATGGCTGCATGTCTACAACTGTTAAATGGCTGTGCCATGTAACAAATGAAGAATGCTGTCTTCTGAATTTAATTACAAGATGTAAGGGATTTTTTTTTTTCAAGCTGCATTAAGTGTCTTTTTAGAATTTATGACATAGTTTCAAATCTCGGGAGGGAATTGTCCTTGCCTGTTTCTCAATGTTTGGCTAAAATTCACAGGGAGCCCTGGCTGGGTGGGTGATACCTGCAATATTAGCAGCCTGGCTGCACTGGAGGGCAGTGAAGGAGCCTGTCTCAGCAGGTATTTGTGGCATCCACCATGGGGCAGGATGAGGGAGAAGCCTTCTGGCTGCTGATTTTATCAGCTGCTGAAAAAATTGCTTCAAGTCTCACATTAGGAGACTTCAGAGGATGATACAGTGTGTTGAGAAAAGTGTGTGTGCAATAACAATATGGCTTTTTATTATTTATGGCCACATGTGGCTTAGAAATACTTTTTTTAATGGATGCATTTTGAAATCGGGACACTCTGAAAACCTGTAAATCCTGTGACTTGCAATACCCTGACTCAAATTTTTTGAACATTGGTATGAGTTGGTTAAAGTAGCATCTGTCTCTAGTGGTTGTCATATGTTTGTACTGCCCCGTGATCTTGACTGCTGGAACACGCTGTGGTGGGTTGACCTTGGACAGCTGCTAGACCCCTTAGAGAGCTGCTCTGCTCTCTCACTCCTCCTCAGCAGGGGGGCAGGGGGAGAAAACAAGGGGATAAAAGCTTGTGGGTTGAGATGAAGACACTTCTGACTCCTCTACCTCCTCCTGCCCTGAGTGGCACAGGGGTTGGAGGTCAGGGTTGTGATGAGTCTGTAAGAGCTCCTCTTTGCTGCTCCAGCCTCCTCACACTGTTCTCCTGCTCTGGCACAGGCTTTCCAGAGGCTGCAGCTTTCATCAGGGCACATGCACCTGCTCTGGCCTAGGGTCTCTCCACAGGCTGTGGGTGGATATCTGCTCCACCATGGTCCTCCATGACCATGAAGCAGGGGACAACCTGCTTCACCATGGTCTTCTGCAGGAGTTGCAGGGTAATCTCTGCTCCAGTGTTTGCAGGGTTGTTTCTCTCAGTTCTTTTCCTCACACCTCCATCAGGTGTTTTGCCCTTTCATAAAGTCATTTTCCCAGAGGCACCACTGACTTGGCTGCTGGGCTCAGCTGTGCCCTGTGGTGGGGCTGGAACTGGCTATGTCTGGCACAGGGCACCCCTGGCTGCTCCTTACAGTGGCTGCTGCAGCTCCTGATGTTGCTACCTGGGTGATGACATCCAAGAAAACATAAATGTTCATCAAGTCTTTCATCTCAATCAAGACAGATTCATAGGATCATTGAGGTTGAAAAAAACCTTTAAGATCATTGAGTCCAACCATAAACCTAACACTGCCAAGTCCACCACTAAATCATGTCCCTAAGTGATGTGTCTACAGGTCTTTTATACACCTTCATGAATGGTGATTCAACCAATTCCCTTGGCAGCCTGTTCCAATGCTTGGCAAAAACTGGACACAGTGTTTGAGGTGTGACCACACAGGGTGACAATCACTCCTGCTGGCTATTTCTGATACAGGCAAGGATGCCATTGGCCTTCTTGGCCGCTTGGGCACACTGCTGGCTCATTCAGCTTGCTGTCAACCAACATCCCCAGGTGCTTTTCCATTGAGGAACTTCCCAGCCACTCTTTTCCAACCCTGTACCATCGCATGGGGTTGTTTTTACACAAGTGCAAGACCTGCCGCTTAACCTTGTTGAATGTCGAGATCAGAGGTGAGGCATGGCCATGGTGTCATTTAGGGACGCCTATGTCACTGAAGAGGCTTGGCCTCCTGGCATGGTGGTGGGGTTGGGCTGTTACTTTGGGCTCTGTGTCAGGGCATGGAGTATCACTGAAGACCTGGGAACTGGTACAGACCACGCAGCTCACTGCAGAGTCCACCAGCAGCCCTTACCACCAGGTTTTCCTTCTCTAATATAAACCCACTCTTCCCAGTATGCTTTCCTTCATGTGGAGAGCCTTTTTCCCTGCTGGGGGATAACCTGATGCACAACTCTGAATCCCTTCTAGTCATTTTCCACAGGTGCTGGCAACCCAGGTGCTGAGATTTTGCAGATCGTAACCTGATGAAGAGTCCAATTCTTAAAACTGCTATTCATGATTTATGAAGTATAAAAAAAAGTATGGAAGCATAATGAAGCTGTTAATAAAATGCTCATTAGCAAAGCTTTTCTCTATTCATTGAGCTGAATCGATTGTCTGTTTTGTGAAGTGCATTATCACACTGCTGCAATATTTTCTTCACTTCTGTTCCCTCTTCTGTGCTCATTATCACCTGCATAAAGCTTTGTTTTAAACATAGTTTCAGCTTCTGTTCTATTTGTGTTGAATTAAGGAAAAACAATCCAGCAAAACCAAATCAAATAGAATAATTTAGAAGGTAGCTGCTTTCTTTTTGGTCAGACCATATCTCTGCTTTTCATCTGTGGTGGGATTCTTTTTAATTTTTCATTAACAGGCTATAACAATGTTTATTCTTGAAAGCATACTGAGTTGCAGCTTGATATCCTTCTTTCTGCTGAGATCTTTTCAGAAGATAATGCACAGAGATAGCTAGGTTTTATGCTGGCAGTGCTAATGTAACGTGATGTAAAGTCACAGAATGGCTGAGGTTGGAAGGGACCCTAGAGATCATCTAATCCAACCCCCCTGCCTTGGGCAGGGATGCCTCTCAACTAGACTAGGTTGCTCAAGGCCTCATCCCAGATTTATTATTCTTATTAGATACTCAACACTGCATCATAAACATCTTGCTTGGAATTTACTGCACAGCTTTGTTACAGACAACACCCCAGGTGGAATGCTACATGACGGATATGTAGAGGACCCTTCCATCACGCCTCAGCCCTTTGCTATTATTTTTTTCATATGTCTTCATTTTCATTATGGATAATATTACAGATTCTCGTAAAATATTTGAGATACCTGGGCTACAAAGGCAGTGTCATCTATGTGTGATACTGCATGAATAGAAGGGATGATGGAGGGGAGAAGAGGGAGGGGACAAGGGAATGAAAAGGCATCCTTTACCACCACTTCTGAAACACATTTGTCAACCTTGCATTTGTATAAGGAGATGCTATAAATTTTTTATTTTTTTTTTACTGTAGTTACAGGGATGCAGAGAAGAACTTTCACAATATATCAAACAGATGCTCCTATACAGACTGCTCTGGCAATGAAGAAACTGAAGATGTCTCAGGAATTCTCCAGTGTACGGCGAATGTACTTGGTACGTATTTTTTCAAGGGAATTTGTTTCCTTTACTCAGAAAGAAATTTCAGTGACTGTCCTAATACCAACAATGAACCAAGGAATTTTTGTTCCAATAACAGAATACTGTCATGTAGGCAGCTACATACCGGTGTACTTTTACTACATTTGTCTCCTTTACTATGTATGTTTTGCACCTTTGGGACAACCCAGACTGATTTTTCAGTGGACTCAGTGGAGGTCTATTGTGCAGCACCCTGTGATGAGAGAAGTTTCAAAGGCTTTGATTCCAAATGGATTTGCATCTGTACAGGCCTTGGAATTCTCTCAAGTGGTTTTAGAGGGGTTCTACAGAACAAAAGATAACTCTTATCTTCTATGGGTCTACAGGGCCTGAGAAGCACAGTGCAGAATAGGTCTGAAACATGAAACATTCTGGAAACTTACATTCATATTGAAGAATGCTTGCTGTAATAAACTTTAGAAATATTGCATGTCAAGATGGTGCCATCTGTCACTGAAGTGCAACTGTCTTCATAGGTGTCAAAATTAGATAGCTGACTATTTACATCTATTCATATAATTTATCCAGGTTATTCTCCCTTTCAATTTGTTAGTAAGCTTTACTGCTTTTCAGTTAGACTTGGATACAAATCTACCATAAAAGGCAAAAAAGCCCCAACCCAGCCCAAACCAAACATTGACATCAAGAACTTAATTTTTGACTAGTGCTGTTTTAATTGTTTCACTTCTATGAAACATACAATATTATTTGTTTTAGAGTAAACTTTACAGATTGAGCTTTAACCACTGGACAGTTGTCTACATTTTACAGGGAAATGTGAGGAGGAAAAGTAGTAGCTGCTTTTAAAGATTATTATTTCAAAGCAATAAATCCTGAGTTATTTGTGATAGTCATTTGCAGTGGAGCAAAACTGATGTTACACAGCTCTACTTCTAGGACTGTAACATTTGACAATGCTTCTTTAAGTAAGTTCTAAGACATGAAGCATTCTCATATATTAATTGTATGCAATTATGCCATCTACTCACAAGAAAGCAGTGCCAGTTTGGTCATGCTGGTTGATGTGAGTTTTTCAGTATTATGCACGTTTGGGCTCAGTCCTGAGGATGAGTAACCACAGCTCACTCACTCGCAGCACAGTGGCTGAACTGTCATAGCTGTTGTTGTTCCTGCTGCTCTCTACCATCCGCTGTGGAGCACTGGCATTACCCATCTGCTGCTTTCACAGAGTTTGGAAGTGGAGAGGCTTTGCGTTTATTTCTCTGTGGGAAAGGCCCCTGGTGTCCTGGTGGCCAGCAAACAGGACATGGGCCAATGGTGAGTCCTGGCAGCAAAGATGGCAATAGCAGCCTGGGCTACATAGGGACTCATTATCCCACTCTACTCAGTACTTGTTAGACCACATCTGGATTAATGAACCCAGTGTTGGGAGCCAAAACCATAGCAAAGCTGATAAACCAGAGTGAGTTCAGTTGAGGCCACTGATGGTGGGTGCTGGAGCACCTGCCCTGTGAGGAGAGGCTGGGGGAGCTGCACTTTTCAGCCTGGAGCAGAGATAGCTTTGAGAAGACTTAACATCCCCCAGTGCCTCTGGGGAGGTCCTCAAGGCGAAGGAGCTGGGCTCTTCACGGTGCAGCATGGGAGGGCAAGAGGCAGCAGGCCAAGGCTGACAACAGATACTCAGACTGGGTGCTTTTCCCCGTAGGGACAGTTGGGCAGAGGTACAAGCTGTGCAGAGAGGCAGCCTGTGGGCAGCATCTGCCCTTGGAGGTTTCTAACCCCAGCTGGGTAAAGTCATGAGCAACCTGGCTTGAATGACCAGGTTACGTATAAGGTCTCCCTTGGCTTCAACGCCTGCCTGATTCTGCCCAGCAGATGTTAATAGCACAATGACATTTTTGCTTGCTGAGTACTGAGCTGTTTTTTTTCTGCACTTTTATATAGCACTCACAACACTTGGGGCTGTACTTTTTTTAATGTTGAAAACCTCTTTGCTCTTCCATTTGAGATCTCAGCAGGCTGCTAAAGTTGGAGTGGAAGGCATGAAACATGGTATTCTGGTTCATAATAAGTCTCCTTTCAGCTGATAATATACAGTATAAACCTGTGATATCTTTATGGAATTATGCAGTTAGAGAGACTTGTCTTCAACAGGAGTATTAACACTGAAATCTGCCTTTGTATGATGGTTAAATATATGATTTACCTTCTGTGCCAGGGGAATATAGTAAGGTGATATTCTGCTCACATTGTGCTCTGGACCATTGTATCCTGCTGGCTTAAAATCCTTTTGGAGGTGTGTGCATAGCATGTCTGTCTCCTATCTCAAACCGTTAGACTTGGTATGCTCTGGGAAACAGCTAGTGTGTTCTAGTTGAGAGATAACTTTGTGTTTCACTGACATTGAAAATGCTTTTTTTTTGGTGTCAGGTGGCTCATTCTACATGATGCTAGGTCTTGTCAGGGAAGTTCTGATTACCTTTAACTGCTGCTGGGAAGAGTCAGCACTTGGCACTGTGCACGTTTGGTCGTAGAGAGAATTTAGAACATAATACATTTTAAATGTGTCCAGTATTAGTTCCCATATATTTTTTGTTTGTATGTTAAAATAATTGAACGCTGAGTCTCAGAAACAAATACTATAAGGCAGGACTCATGCAAAGTGAAGACTTTTAATGTTACGATGACCATATTAATACTATAAAAAAATACCAGACATTCACTACTTATTTCACCATGACACAAAGCATGTGTTCTGAGAAACAGTTGTGAACACTTTGGAGTGCTTTTGAATCAGTGTTGGTCTGGTCCCTTAGCATGGCTGAGTAATAATATGTAGCCTCTCTTTTCAGTGGTATCCTCACAGTGCATGTGTCAGGGTCAGATTGGACTGCTGGATCACAGAGCAGGAATAACATCTAGATGATTCTGTCTTGGGGAATTTTTAAAGTGTACTTAGTTGAAAATAAGGTCTCATCTTTTAAAGAAAGAATTTGAGTTCATAGCAAAAAAAAAAAAAAGTAAGCAAAACACCGAGGTAATTTAAAAGCAGTACTTTCCTTCTTATCTGGGACAGGAACGTAAGGGAATGAGCAGTAAAACCAGCTTCTTCATTTTAATTATAACTCCTATCACAACAGGTAAATAATTAATGAAGGCTGTGCAATTAATTCTTATATATGCTGTTGTTTTTCTGGTTGAATAAGGATTAGTGAGAGCTGCTTCTGTGCAAGAAGGATGTAACCACTGGAATGTGTACCTAGAGCAACTGGTATTGCTGAGACAGGAATGAATCTGACTTTGATGGAGCTCAGTATTTACATGAGCAGTAACAAGGACTTGCTGTCTAGGGCTGGAAGAAAGTGTTTTCTTAAAGGTGATTGGAAGCAACTTCCTGCTCTCTTACCTTAGATAGTGTCAATGTGATTCACTCTCCTGATCCTCTAACTGCCTTCAAAACAGTCATTTGGCATTCCTTATTCATCAGAAGACAGCAAGTGCTGAGGTCATTAGTAAGCTTGGAAGATTGTGAGCAGATGCTTTGCACTGTGGTCCTGGTGCTCACACTGCTCACAGGAAAGTGCTGACTGTAAGCGATATGCTCAGCTCGATGCATGTCATTTGTCATGTACGAATACTGGAATTTTCCTCCTGTCAAGTCATCAGTGAAGTGTGACACCATCTTCTTGCAGTGGAAAGACCTCATTCTCCTTGTTTCCTTGCTGAGTTGTTCCTGCTACAAGTCTAAACATCAATAGAACCCTCCCTGCTTTAATCCACTGTAATTAAGGGAGCCATGTCCATCATGCTCATATGCTGTAAACCATGTATGATGCTAGATCAATGGCACAGCTTTCCTATGTGGTGACAGCTTCTGAGGCTGGACTGTTTAATTTAATTTTGCATCCTTTTGAACACAGTCCAAACAGCTTTATGATGGACTCTACTTTCTTTAATAAGTGCATGCACATTTTTACAGTGTCCTTCATAAGCATATAGTATCATAGAATCAGAATCATTTAGGTTGGAAAAGGCCTTTAAGGTCATCAAGTCAAACCAGTAACCCAGCACTGTCATGTCCACCATTAATCTGTGTGATGGTTTTAGAAGTGCCACATCTACATGTCCTTTAAATACCTTCAGGGATGGGATGGTCACTCAACCACTTCCATGGACAGTCTGTTCCAATGCTTGTCAATCACAGAATCAAAGAATCTTTTAGGTTTGAAAAGACCCTTGGGATCATTGAGTCTAATGACAGGGAGGCGGGGGAGGGCGGGGGCTGTGGGTGGAGGTTGTAAGCAGGTCTCAAACCTATGCTGTGCCACACTGTGGGCAGAGGTGCTTCTGGGGCCTTTCAGGGAATACATTTTTCCTGATGTCCAATCTAAACTTCCCCTGGTACAACCTGAGGCTGTTTCCTCCTGTCCTATTGCTTATCCTTTGGGAGAAGAGACTGACCCTTACCTTTCTGCAGCCTCCTTTCAGGTAGTCGTGGAGATCAATATGGCTTCCCCTCAGCCTCCTTTCCTCCAGGGTAAACAATCCCAGTTCCCTCAGCCACACCTTGTAAGACTTGTTCTCTAGACCCTTCACCAGCTTCATTGCCCTTCTCTGGACATGCTCCAGCACCCCAATGTCCATCTTGTTTTGAAGGGCCCAAACCTGAACACAGTACTCAAGGTGCAGCCTCACCAGTGTCGAGTCCTATGATCCGAAGGAAAAACAAATGACCATATATTGGAAGTTGGGAAAAAGAGAAGAGAAATCCTACCTTCTAAAGGGAGCCTTTATAAAATTCCTAGTTAGAAATAAATAATTTCGAAGAATAAGCATTGGTAGGTTTTGAGACAGACAGTGCTTTTAGTTGGCTAGCTAAACTGTGTTCAGAGCAGATTGGTTGTGTTAGTTTGAACTTTTTTTTAGAAATAATGATAAGAAAAAGGTTCCTATCATGAAGAAGTAGAGTTATGTGGAAGACTACCACCTTTCTT